GGGCTCAGGGATCATCGGGGAAAAGGGGGTGGAAAGATTGTAAGAGCCAGGGTGGTACATGACCACAAGGAAACAGAATCTTACAGACTCCTGTGAACTTGCTCATATGAACTTAGCAACAATGGCACAGCATTCAGCAGACCCATGTAAACAAAGTCAGACAAAAAACAGCATAGAACTTGGGAAACGGGAAGGAGGCCCCAATCTTAGCTGAAGAACTTTTGGCAGCTGGTCACTGCTGGGTGAGGGACTGATGTTAGATTGGGTGACCAGGCTTCTGTAGATGAAGTCACATAGAGAGACATCTGGGTACAAAAACTTGATTCAATAGGGCTTGATGCATATGACGGAATGCATGAAATCTGGTTGGTGGGCTATGGGAAGGTGCAGATAGGGTTGGGGTTTTAAATATGATTAGGATATATGGTATGAAATCCACAAAAATTCAATAAAAATACACATTGAGGAGCTAGAGACATGGCTCAGCGGTTAAGAGCACCAACTGCTTTTGCAGAGAACCTGGGTTTGATTCCTATCACTCATATGGCAGCTAACAACTGTCTGATGACCTCTTCTGACCTCCGCAGGCATTGCATGACATGCTACACTTAAATACATGCAGACAATATACTCATATGCATAAATAAAAATAATAAATACAATATTTTAAAAAATATACATTGAAAAAATTCACCTCATTTCAAGAGAAGGAAAACCATTTTGTAAGCACTGTAAAAATTCATGATCAAAATTGCCAGAAAGCTAGGAAATGTTTAACATTTCCTTTAATTTAAATTTCACAGATTCCAACCTCTAGATGAAGACTCAAAGGCAATCAATGGATTCTGAGGGAGGGAGAATCAGTTTCCTACAGGAACCAGCTTTCTGAGAAGTTATCTAATCCCAAGTCATCCGCCCTAGACATATGTACACACAAGCACCACCATACATACAATATGTGCATATTTATAAATGTGTGTACATGAAACAATAACAATCAAAGGAGAGGACAAGAGATTGAAAGAGAGTTGGGAGGACATGGGAGGAGTGGAAGGGGTGGGAATTATGTAAATACAATACTCATGTATGTAATTCTCAAAAAATTTAAAAAATGAAATAATTAAGGAAAAATTTAAAAAGAATGAATTTTTCACCTGGGATCAGAAATTTGTAAAGAAGCTTGATTTGTTAAAGGAGTAAAATATCAGCATATTAATTATAATATCTAATAAAAATTTAACGAATATTAGATTATTTAAATCACAAAATAGTAAATGTTAAATATTTTTCAAAATAACTTGTATTTATAGTCCTGAAGCAGTTCACATGGTCCACTGAATAAAAATTAAATAATTTTTACTCATAAACATTATGTTGTTTATAATTTCTACTTTTTCTTCCAAGAGAAGTTTAGCTTCTATATAATCTTTAAAACATAACTACAATACTCAAAGTTATGGCTGACCTCATGCTTAATTGGATTATAATGTTGCTGATGTTTAGTTGAAGAAATATTACGCTGTCTTAAAGCAAAAAAAAATGAATTTTTCAAAGTTGATAAAATACATTTTTATCATATTAAGTCACCTCCCCTGTTTGCACCTTCCACTACTACCTCAGTTTCATGCACTGAGTTATAAACATATATATATGCATATACAGTCAAATTTGTATCCTTAAATACCCTTCCTCATGGATCCATTCACTGGAGCCTTGTACCAGAAGAGAAAAGAAGTCATCAACTTTACCACTTTTGAGTCCTGCATGCTTCACAACAAGTGGCCTGGCAAGATATTTGCTATAGTGCAATAGTGGTATGAATATTATGGGAGCAACTATCTGCTTTCTAACCACACTCAAGGTCTGTTTCATAAAACATTGATATCAGGTCCAGGAATCTGTGGCTAGACAGTACATATGTCACAGGGGAGAGACTAATACTATCATTCTGCTATGCAGATACAGTATTAAAGTGATTCTTAACGATTTATTGTTACACCCGTAAATTAATGCATCACTCATCTTTCACCAAAGAAGCTTCTTTATGCAGCAGATGATGATTAACAAAGAAACCCAGAACTGGTCAATATGTAGAGAAAAAGAGAACTGCAGGGTGTTTATCCATGAATACGACACCTATATCAAACTTCTGCTCCTCAAATCTCAGGGATGATTGTAGAAGAGGGTGTGGAAAGTTTGTAAGACCCAGAAGTGGTAGATGATCACATGGTTTTCCAGATAGCTGAGAGAGTTATTCATATGGACTCACAGCAATGGTGACAACATGCGTAAGACCCACATTAGCTCAAGCCAGTCAAAATCTCAGCAGGGACATGGGGGAGTTTGTTAAGCAAGCTCAATGCTATCTGAGGAAATTTCTGGCAACCAATGACAACTGGGAGGGGAGAGTCAATATCATTTTAGAGTGTTTCTAATATTTTAAACATTATATAAATATATTTCCTAGAAGATGCTTTGAAATCTGATTTTCCTACTAGGGTGGTTAATCTTGGTTTGTCTTGATTGAATTGAGAGATACATAGGAAATTGTTATAGCAATTCCTACATTTGCATGTATCTGTGAGAATGTTTCTAGGGAAGGTGAAGGAGGGAAGACAGAGCCTAACTCTGGTCAAACCCTACAGACTGGGTTTCAGATGAAATGTAAAGAGCAGAAGGAGAAAGCCAAGTGCACAGATATTCACTCTCCTGCTTTCGCTTCCTGGCTGTTATGATGGGCGCTGCCCTCGTCTACTGTGTCTTCCATGTCAGAATGCACTGAATCCTTTGAACCTGTGACGCAAATAAACCTTGTCTCCCTTAAATTGTTTGTTCAGGTATTTTGACACAGTCACTTAAAAAACAAACAAGCAAACAAACAAACAAAATCCTGACAGAGGTACTGCATTGCTTAATGTTATAGATTAAATCATTAGTGGTTTCATTGCATATTCTGAATGTGGATGGGCATGAATATTATCTTTATGAAAATTATAACTTAGGATATTCCTCACACCCTTTGCTTAAACAAAATATTCCATTTATTTTGATAACCATGATGCAACATAATGAACAATAACTTCTTTTATTTCATACTTTATGTCAACTTTCATATTTTAAGCAACTTTGTTTAATGTTTATCAAGTAGTAAGATTCAAATATACATACATATATGTAGTTGTGTACATATAAGTTATCTAAGTAAGTTTTAAAGTGAAATTTAATGAAAAGGCTTTCTCTTACTTGCTGTGATCTTTTTCTAGGCAAGAGCTCTACAACTGAGCTAAACCTCAGCCTCTCTCCAGTGTCTTTAGAACAGACCTTAAGAAGGTATTTTTTTCTTTAATTCTTGGTAATCATGTAGGGAAATCTGCCAAAGTTAACTGCTCAAAATGCTTTACTTGACTAGATGGAGGCCCCACAGAATTAATTTCTTTGTAAAAAGACAGTCATAGCCAGTGGCACACGCCTGTAGTCCCAGCACTTGGGAGGCAGAGGCAGGTGGATCTCTGTGAGTTCAAGGGTAGCCTAGTCTACATAGTGAGTTCCTGGACAACTGGGGCTACAGGGAGACCCTGTCTCAAAAAGACCAAAAAGAAAAAAAGAAAAAAGAAAACAAACAAACAGAAAAAGACAATCAATATGAAAAGGATAGAGTGGAATCATGGCGTCTTCATTTACTGCTTTTCTGACTTTGCATTTCATTCTTATTGCCAGTAGTGTGTGCATTGCCATGCTAGCCTGCCTCATCTGGTGACTGGAATGGAGACTCACTGTCAGAGATGGTAAATTCTGAATAATGGATATGTGAGAGTCCCCTGACACAAGATTGATGGGGATAAAATACGAGTTATTTGATTGCCCTTATATTCATACTCTGTAACTGACAGAGAGAATATTATTTCTAAATGCCAAGTTAAGTCAAATCCCGGCCAGTTTTGGTGGGTAATTCTCTCATTAGTGTTTGAAGCAATTACAGAGAGGATGGATCAGTGCAATTTCATTTCTGTACTGCGATAATCTATTCTTACTATTGCATTTTAGCTATTCAGATTCAAATCAGGCTTCTTATCACAAATGTTCTGTTGTGAGGGACACTCAAAATGAGCAGCACTTCCCACCCTAATCAAGTCTGATTTCCAGTGGGGTCAATTCTTGTCATTCAGGAAAACAGTATTAAGTCAACAGGTAGAATCAACATGCTTTTTGCTTTGTGCGAATTACTTATTTGCATCCTGATACATTACCTTTTATTTCTATTTTTTAATGCTAAAAATCTCTTACCACATTGTAGAAAATCAGATATAATATGAAATTAAGGTTTGTACACACAATGGACTTCACAGACTTAACACATTTTCAATAGATTCAGAAATAACATAATCAAAGAGTTGTTTTCAGCCCAAAATGAACCCAACTGCAGTAAGATTTGGATTGGTAAGGAAAGATAAATACATAGAGGAGGAATTTGTTAATTGTAATTTACTGCTTTCACCAAAAATTCTTCTTTTTGTCATGCATTATAGTCATAATGACATAGTCATGATGCTTTATCTGTCAATGTCAATGGGAATGCAAGTTACTGTGATTAGACAATTCAAATTAGAAGAAAATTGACAGAAATATTCCTTATAGGATCCATAAATATATAAAATATATTGACTGCTCTTTCATACTAATTACTAAGATTAGATATTTCCACTAATGATAAGAAAAAGCAAAATTATCCCTGAATATGCACTGCATATGCTAAGGGCCCACATCATGACACTTTTCATTAGAAATCTCTCTATTTCAGAATCTCCAATTTGACAAACAATAGAAGGAATATATGCATGAGATTAATTATGTGATTATGTGTATATTAACCTGTATGTGTATTAAGAGTTGACTTAAGAACTAATCGATGCTACATGTTGAAATCATAATAAAGAACTATTTTCAAAACAATAGAAAATAATCTAATTTTCTTAGTAGAAAAGGCATTAATAGTTACTCACCTAACCTCTCAATGGAATAATACCGCTGCTTACTGTCCACACGTACTGTCTCAGCATAAGGACTTCCAACACCATAACCGATAATGTAACCCCGCACCACGATGTTTGGATTCAGGGGAGGAGTCCAGCTCATGATGATGCAGTTGGTCTGGGGTCTCACATGAAGGGAGCTTGGCTGGTCAGGGACCTGAGACTCTAAGATGCAAAAACAAGTATCATCAGCATGTCACATTTACAGTTGACAGGATGGAGAACTTCTCATTCAAACATGACAATATTCTATTCCACACAGCCTCAGTAATGTATCACTTATTGTTCAAATTCCTCCTTTTCTCAGCGTGTGCTCCATTTTCCATGTCTGCTTTATCACAGTTTCTCCTGTCTTCTCTCTCTGTCCCTCCCTCCTTCCCTCCCTCCTCCTTTCTGTGATACATGTGTGTGTGCGTGTGCACGCGCATATTGAGGCTACAAGTGGACATCTGCTGTCTTGCTTTATCATGATTCACCTTCTCTTGTAAGATTTCATTTCTCACTGAACCTGGATCTCAACGATTGGATAGTGAACTCTGGAAATCTGTCTCTTATCCCCATTTTTGAGGTTCTCAGATCCTCATATTTTCCTGGAAGGCACTTTACCCACTGAGCCATCTCTCCAGGCCTGTCACAGAATCTCCTAAACATAGCTTCCCTAGGCACATGAAGCATCATATATTCTTATTCTAATAGAATCTTCATTCTTTCATATATGTCTATCTACTTAGCTATAATTAATAAAAGGGAAAATTAAGACAAACAAAAAGTAAGGAAGAAGAAAATTAAATGATAAAGCTCTCTTGTCCAAGAATTATTTACTCAAATAATACTAAAATCACAAATGAATGACCAATCCTATTTTAAGACACTGTCAGCAGAGCCTGAAAATATGTCTCAGCATTAAGAGCTCGTACTGCTCTTGTAGAGCTTGGTTCCCAGCAACCATGTTAGGTGGCTTACAACTGCCTGTAATTTCAGGTCCAAGAAATGAGATTCTGTCTTTTCTCTTCCACAGACACTTCAACTCATGCACACATACCCCCACCTACATACACACATAATTAAAAATAAAAATAAAATCTTTAAGAAAATTGGATTAGGAACTAAGTGCTGTGATCTGCTAAGTTTTACTCAGAATTCATTTGACCCAATATTTGTTGGTCCTATTAAAAATTGTTATTATTGTGAGTAAGAAATGCCAACCCAACTAAAGGAATTTTGGCAACTGATGGCTGCTGGGAGGGGGAAAATGTGTCCTATAGGAATGGGACTCTTGGTAGGTTAACCAGGCTCCTGTGAATGGATCTACACTGAAGGACATTTGGGGACACAAATCAGACTCTGTAGGCCATATTATACATGTATATATAACATATAATAGAGTACAATATAATACATAATAGTAGACTACATACAGTGTAATAGAGTACATAGAATTTTATATACATACACACATATATACATACATATGTATATATAATATATATTACATTAAATTGGGTGGAGGGAAGAGGGGAAAGTTCAGATTGGGGAGAGGATCTAAACACCATCAGATTTTATTACATAAAAAATCATAAAAATAAAAATATGCATCATGCCGGGCGTGGTGGCACACACCTGTAGTCCCAGCACTTGGGAGGCAGAGGCAGGTGGCTCTGTGAGTTCAAGGCCAGCCTGGTCTACATAGTGAGTTCCAGGATAGCTGGGGCTACAGGGAGACCCTGTCTCAAAAAGACCAAAAACAAAACAAAAAAAAAAAGCATCATTAGTAAAGGAAAGGAGATTCTGTCTTGGAGTGAAGTCACGTGGGGTTGGCAGCTCTGAGGATTTGTTTTCATATCAAGTTCTATCATTTAGTAGATTTATACCCTCATGAGAAAATCTAATTTTCCTAATTAAATGGAGATTCCCAATATTTTTTATTCAAATCTTGAACGCTGGGAGTTAAGAAAGAGCTAAGTTAAATCCTATATTAGAATTTATCTATGAGCCTGCAAGAACTTCCTTATCTTTCTAAGCTATTCCTTTAGCTCTACAGCGATGGTAAAGTTGGAAATCATTTCACATGGTGTTGATAAGACTTCTTGAAAGAGAATCCATAAAAATTTCTCATTAAGAATAGCACCTAAGTTCTCAAATTAAATTTGATAGTACGGATAAACTGGGTATGTTGCTCTAACATTTTATTTTAAAAAGAGATGGTATGTTGAAACTAATTAACATGGTTGTTATATCACCATTCTAAACTATGATTATATCCTCTAAAGACTGATTCATTTTCTGGACACATAATTATTGACTTAATAGGTACTTGTATAGCATCTTCTATGTTTGGGATATAGGGCTATCTACTGTAGAATGTAAGAGAGGTACACATGATAGGCACAAAACTCACATGCTGTAGCTTATAATCTAATGTGGAAAGACAGACATGCAAAAACAGTTACCATAAATCATGATAAACAATTATAGATTAAATAGAAGCATATACAAACTATGTTGAACATCAGTTAAGTCTTGAGAGGTGAAAATTAAGAACCAATATGAACATTTTGATTCTGTAGTAAGCAGGTGCCTGATATAGTTCCTGAAAATGAATAAGCTCTCAAAATTATGATTAGAATCTCATTCAAACAATTGTGTCCATTATTTATGCTCCAATAAAAAATGACTGAAGGTTATATATCAAATGATGAAAAAATAATTGATGACTAAAAGTAGCATTATAGTATTTATTCCTCTGTGACTTAACTGCAAAAGATGACCTTATCCCCCTCCTCCAACTTCATCCACATTCAGCTTAAACACTTCGAGGTGGATGGAAGAAGATATTTTGTTAATGTTATGAAAATAATTACTATACCATATCTTTTAAAAGTAGACTAAAGATGCTGCATCAGAAGAATTTTCTAGAAGTTTTATTTTCCCAAAGATCCCCTTTGTGAGTAAAGAAGGGCAGGAATTATTTCTCCGCCTTAAAGAAGGCCTTGATGTAACATGCAAAGGCATCATAAAAATTATGTCTCAAAATGTGGATATAAACCTTTACAGCAGAAACACAATGTTTGTGAAGTATGTCCCTAAGTAAAAGCAATAAAAAGATGAAAGGGATGATTGATACTTTCCAACTCTGTTGCCATAGTCTTGCAATTGTTCTGGAAATGTAATTGGTACCATATTCCATTCTATTTAGTATATTTAATATATAAGTGGTAACTACTGAAACAAGGCAATATGCCTAATTGTATATCAAGAAAACTACCAAATGATATCAAGGCTTTCTGCATTTATGATTTTTGGTTGTGTATGGATGACATGCATGCATTCAAGCACCTACGTAGTTGTAGGTGCATATGGAAGTAAGAAGTCGATATAAGATTTCTTCCTTAATTGCTTCTCCAGTATTTTTTAAGAGCTAGGGTATTTTACTGAGCATGGAGCTTGCTGATTGCCTGTAATGCAGCAGGCCCTAGTGATCCTACTTCTCTGCATTCTCAGCACCGAGATTCCAGGCTCAGGACACTATAGCCAACTTTTATGTGTGTGCAAGAGATTCAAGATCAGAGCCTGGAGAGGTGCCTCAGTGGTTAAAGACACTGGTTCCTCTTGCAGAGGACCGGAGTTTGGTTTCCAGCACCAACATGGCAGTTAACAATCAGAATCTCCAGTTCCAGTGGATCAAATGCACTCTTCTGGAATCCATAGGCATTGCATGACATGGTTACACTTACATACATGCAGGCGAAACACTCATACACATAAAATAGTAATAAATAAAAAATTAAAAATTAAAAGAGGTCCCACTTCAGGGCTTCCTGCTTGTGGAACAGGCTTTGCATTTATGACTTTTAAAACTAGCATGAAAATATAAAATGATTTGAAAGAAAATATCCACTATCTTTTAGAATAAGGAAAATATCCAAATTCTTTTAGAATAAACAACATTTGTTCCATGTTTCTGCACATCATAGGTTAAGTTAGTACTCAGAGAGATTCATCCACCAGAACTAGAAACATGGCATAGTAACGGAGCATTCAACTGGCTCTTGAGGAGCTGTTGGTTTTCCTCTACCTACGTTACTGAATTAAAATGCTTTCAGTCTTGTGAGTATGCCTCAAAATGACTGTATCATTGTACAGTGATGAGTGTGAATACACGAGAACACATTCTGTTTCCCATTTAGTTATTTAGTAGACTGTTATCACTCAATTAAACTCAGAGGGCCAGAAGGACATGTCAGATCAAGGCAATGTTGCAACCAGACAATTCATAATACATAGCCTCATGATCATCATAATTAGGCCAGGAAATTGTCCATAATCCAGAACTGCCAATTCAAACCTACCTACTCATTTCCTAATATAAAATGGAAATGACAATTTTCCTTTTATTCTTCAGAATGCATTTTCTCTCATACATTTAACCTTATGAGTTATAAAAGCCATTGTTACTAAAATTAACTACAAAATACCAATTTACCAAACTCTCTGTGGAAAGGTTATGACATAAGTACTCCTTGTTCAGGATCTAAACCTGGAACTCTTGCTCAGAAGTACTTGAAAGATTTTCCAAGTATCTCTAGGGAAGCGATGATAAATATAAATATAAAGAAGATTTAGGGAAATTTCTGAGATAATTTGAAATCAGAGAGAGCACATATTACCTGAAATGCCCAAATTAACAATGCCCCAAATTTTACTTGACCCTGAATGATCAAGATAAAAATTTAGCTGCTGTTGCTGATGGTGTCATGGGATTCTGGATTCACTCTTAATTTGTTTCAATAGAGCATGTGTTATTCTTTGAGTAATGATTACATGTTTCCACTAATTATATATATA